TGTGCTGGCACCATCAGATCGTTGCAGCCACCTGGTAGTCCCCGCTTGCATTCTGTGTTGTAGAACAACTTCACACAGAGCAGCTATATGCTACGGGATGCCAGTAATGGTCTCCTGCTATGGAATTTATTTACAGTTTGTGAGCCGTGGAGCGCAACTTCATGCAACTCTTCTGGCCCGCTCCTTTCTAGATTGAAGGGAATCTGTGCTTGACCCTTAGACTACGGCTTTTCTAAATGTCGTTACTGATGTGTTTTGTGAAATAGCTATCGCTCCTTGCAACAGTCTCAATAAGTCCCGAAACTGTAGCAGTGCCTTAGTCTAAAGAAGTGGTACACATGTGTACCACCAGTAGTCAAAGGGTTAAGGCTTCATCAACGGTCTCCTTGCTTCATTTTCATTTTTAATCAACTCGGCATCCACAACCAATTATCGACCGCTGTGCCCCAAAGATTCGATCTGGAGTGTTCATAGCATATTCCATTATTTTCATTTATCGATCCCATCCCTTCACATTAGAAGACGCCTTGAGAAGGCCACAATCCTACTCCATAATCCTACTGATACGTTCCATGGACTCGATGATTTCCACATGTTGCATTTCTTATATTCTTTGTCGGCCTATCATATCCAGTTAGAGGAGCAATACCTAGCAGCAATAGTAGAATAAACCTTTGAAAAAGGTAATGTTAGCAAATTTTGATAAATTCGTGATGCCCACGACTTATAAGCAAGCCACGGGATAAATTGAGTGTATAGGAGCGCTCAATTTTGAAGCTGGATGGTGGGGAGTGGTCTATAAAAGAAAAAGAAAGCAAAGAAACCCCGATTACGCCCCGTATAGAGACCTCCTCTATTTCAGCCGCATTCCACCTTGGGATAGAAAGGGGCGTGTTGGACGAGTTTCACGAACCTAACTCTAGTTGCTCCAGTGCCAATGACATTGGATCGCAATGGGACCGCTGCCTCAAATGCGCCCGCGCTTTTCAAGCAGCGCCACGTGGCAACCGACAGCGGAAGGGTGGGGCTTGCGGACGAAGGTGTGAGTTGCGGGTCGGACGAGCTTCTTGCGCCTTTGTCGCGCACTTTCAAGCGCAAAAGGGGCGCGACATCAACGTCGCCTGCCGCCCCTCGGGGATGGGTGGGAGAGCGTGCCTAATCCAGGAGCGTGCCTTTTAAATAAGGAATAGAATTCTCGAATGTTTATAAAACGAATGAGGACCCACATTAAGGAGAGAATAAAATGAGCTCTAGTAGGTATCGAATCGGAATTCACAAAAATACGAAGAACCAGAACCTCTTCAAAACCACACCATAGAGAGCAGAGGAGAACAGCAGCGTCCAATTATACCTTCTCACCTTTTCAGTGCGGGTGCGTCGTTTCATCCTCGTCTTACCAGCAGCATCCATTTCATCCGTGACCTACAATAGACGCAAACTGAACCACTCTTGACACAAAGTGTATCTCCAGGAAGTGTTACTGCGCCTTATGGCAATTTAAATTGAGTCTCCAATAAATACCTCAGCCGAATACATTTCCGACCCAGGAGCCTCCTCAGAGTCATCGTTTCCAATATCCGTCACATCAAACGCTGAAGACGCCCTCAATATCCAGAAAATCGTCGTCGAGTGGAGCAGAATCGTTTCGCCCACAATCCCAAGTCTCCTTCCAGCACTCTGTCTGCGGTGCCACACCAGTCAAATCCATGTTATCGGGTCCATTAGTTGAAACTCGTTTGAACTGTAATAAGTATGGTATGAAAACGTCTCAGAGCTTCGAAATTAATGGCGACGGATAATAATATAAACAAGACAATTTCAACTGAAAGAATCGAACGGGGAAAAATACATTTGCACTCAAAGATAATTCAACTCGATGTTGCGTAGCTTAAACGTCGCCTTCCCACTTAACGCTTTCCCATTTGAGGTCAACCTTTGAACTGAATGCAATGGACATCACAGAGGGATTGTTCAACTTTCTGCACTTTTAGTGCGATCCTCTAGCCACGAACATCGAACGTTTAACTGTGCTTATCGAGAACATGCCTGCTCTTGATCAGAAAAGCTTAACGAGCAAATGAAGCTAGAAGTCCTCGCATTTTGATCCGATAAATGTTGTGCATTAACGTTG